TCCCATGTTTTAGCGCGGGGATCGAGTTCCCATATTTCAAGCATTTTTTCAGATAAGAAACTGACATCCTGTTCACTGGGTGTAGGACCCTCGAGGACCTGAAATTTGCCGTCGCATCTCGATCGCCTCTTGCCCGTCAGACGTGGATCACTTCAAGCACCTGATTGCGGAGCGATGACAAGCATGTCGCGTGCAGGTTGGCCAGTCCCGGCGCGACCTCAGAAGGTGAACACAGCTCCGGCCCCGCCGCCGGTCGTCAGGAAGACCCCCGTGAAGGTGCACAAAATCGACCGGGCCATCAATCTGTAAGTATTTTTTTACTGCGCACCCTCAGCAGATGAGGAACATGGTATTATCATTGTCTGGGGCAAATGCTGGGCAAAAGTAGAAATTTCTCGTCGATAATTTTCAGTTTTCGTGTGTTTTTTTGCAGCTGTGCAATGCAAAAACACATATTGATGAGGGGTTGTCTGTGTGTCCGTGTGTCTGTGTGTGCGTCTCTCACGCACTTTCATCTCAAAACCTATAAAAGCTGCGGGCCTGAAATTTCGAGAACTTAATCTACATGGAAGTGCCGGCCCCAATCCCCAAAATGAGCGCCATCACCTGCGTAGTACCCGCGTACGGGCCCGCCAAAATTTTTTCGAGTAAATTCATAACTCGGGGATCTGAGAAGCTAGAACGCTGAAATCTTAAGGAGTTGTTCCCCGTCCAAGTGAATATTAATGTGCTCAGACCCAGCCCTCCGGTGTGCGTGATAACTAAGCACGGGCCCGCCAAAGTTTTTTTTGGCTAGGTTTATAACTCGGGAATTTGAAAGGCTAAAGGACTGTGATTTTTAGAGGATGTTCCCCGTTCATCTAAGTCTCACTGAGCTCTAACCCAGACTCCAGGTGCGCGCGGTAACCACATAAGGGCCCGCCGAATTTTCCTCAGGTAAGTAGCTGACTCAGGAGCCTGGAAAGCTAGAAAGGTGAAATTTGAAGAGGGTGTTTCCTGGCGGTTCTGGCGGCCAGTCTTAATTTTTTTAGCTAGAAACATTTACCGGAAAACCGGTGCCAGTAGCGAAAAAAACTGCGGGAAACTATGCAAAAAACGCATCTTCGCACGGACAGTCCGTGCGCTGGCCAATTATCACTTATTTCTGGTCATTTTCAGGTACCCGCTGACCAATTATACATTCGGGACGAAGGATCCGCAAGCGGAACGCGATCACTCTGTTCAAGCTCGATTCCAGCGTATGCGTGAGGAGTTCGAAAAGATCGGAATGCGCCGATCAGTTGAGGGCGTACTGCTTGTGCACGAACACTCGTTACCGCACGTGCTTCTCCTGCAGATCGGAACAACCTTCTTCAAATTGTAAGCTCATTTCAAGTATAATCAGCAAAATTGGATGTTTCAAAAGACGATGATTGCTCGTAGATTATATATTTGGTGTAAATTTGTGCGATTTTTATGCGTTTTTTGCATCTATGCAATGCAAAAACGCATACTTTCGAGGGTTTGTCTGTGTATGTTTGTTTGTATGTGCGTCTGTACCAGTTTCTCATCTCGAGATTCGCAAAAGTTACAAAGCTGGGACTTTGGCACGTACGGGCCCCAGTTCCTAGAATAGGCGCTCTTACCCGCATGGTTTCCCCGCACAGGCCCGCGAAGGTTTTTGGCGGGTAAGTTGCTAACTCGGGAACCAGAAAAGCGACAAGGTTGAAATTTTAAGGGAAAATTCCCCATCCACGTAGATCCTAATGAGTTCAAACCCAGTCCTACATACGGCCCGTGAAAGTTGCTAACTCGGGAAACTGAAAAGCTAGAAAGCTGAAAATTTAAGGGGATGTTTTTAGACAGTCCTAGTGGCCAGCCTCAATTCTCTTAGCTGGAATATCTGCCGAAGAACCGGCTCCGTTAACGACAAAAACCTGTGGGGAACTATTCCAAAAACGCATCTTCGCACCGGCAGTCGTTGCTGTGGCTGTTTATTGCACTTATATTCTGGTTTGGATGATCTGCCGGTCAAGCTCCGCGGTTTCGCTTTGAAACATGAGATTATGTGTGTGGATGATACGTGACACTGATGTTCAGCATTTACCTTTATCGAAATCACCAAGGCATAAACCTAG